GATGGGCAGTCTAACAATGATGGAGATGATGAAGTAAACAGTCCATGGAATCAAAGGTCCAACAGTCAAACAAATCTGGTGTTCAATGAGAGAGGCATCAAAGGTCCAACAGTCCATGGAATCCTTCAATAGTGAAACATTTAGTTAAAAAGTCACTAGTATTTTGCATCCAAGTTGTCTGTAAGAAATCTTAAAAAAACTATAAGCTTGATACAATATGATTCAAAAGCCTCGGATGGTGGCTCCTTCTATGGTATTGTATAGTGTAAAATAATTGGACATGCTTGATCCAATAAGATTCAAAAGTCTAGGAGTATGGTTCCTTCTGTGGTATTGTATTTTTTTTTATCAATAATAACAACATTTCATTAATTAAACACAAAAGTAATTACATGGAGGAAGATAAACTTTCTTATCTTGCAATTGGAGTTTGAGCTCCCAATAACAAAAAAAGGAAAAAAATTACACGTGCCCAAAACATGGACTCTTTCTTGACCCCTTGCTTAGCTAACCCATCAACAAAAGAGTTAGCTGATCTTTTCACCCAATTGATCTTGACTTCTATCTCTTGAACCAGCCACCTAAATTTCCTCCTCTCATTACTGTACATCCATAACCTATTATTTTCTTTATTTAGCCACCCTACCACCACCTCCGAGCCCCTTCAATTATGAGTTTTCTTATACTCATCTCCTTTGCTCTTTGGACTCCTTCCAAAACTGCAAAGACTCAACCGTAAGAAAGTCACCCACTCCAATTGGGCCTGAGAACAAGGCTGAAACAAAGTCATTCTCATCCCCAACATTGAGATTTTTGCCTCCAATTTACTTCCTCTTTATGTAGAAAATCCTCTAACTGCCTTCTTAGACTTATTCTTTGTTCCTTATCTACCTCTCCAAATTCTCCCCTTTTTTCTTTCGAATCAAGGAATTCAATTTGATCCATCAAGGTGCTCTTCCTATCTTCTAACCTCCCAAATTACAATGATTCCACTCCTTGAGCTTGGCTTTCAGAAATTGCAGTTTTTTTTATGAAACCTCATGCCTTCCCATTCCACAACTGGGTTACACTCATTCCACCACTCCTTTACTCTCGTAGTAAGCCCAAGATGGAGCAACCACATATTTTCAAACCTAAAAGGGGTAGGTCCTCCACTCCTCTCCTCTTTGCAGATCACAATTGGCCAATGATCTGAGGTCAATCTAGGAAGAGCTTTAGAGGCTAGGTTCCCCTAATGGTCTTCCCAATCCAATGGGAATAGGAATCTATCCAGTTTAGAGCAAATGGGACTCGATTGGAGATTTGACCATGTGAATGTCTTGTGGGCTAAAGGTATCTCTTTGAGTTCAAAGGCATCCACAAATCGGTTAAACTTCTTCATACTGGTTGTCACCCTTTGATTAATAATATTGGTTTCCTATGTGAATCTAATCACATTGAAGTCCCCACCTAGACACCAATTTCCATTCCATAGTCCTCTGACATTAGCGAATTCCTCCCACAATTCCTTCATTTCTATGTAATCATTTGGTCCATAAACATTTGTTAGTACTCACATATAATCATCCTCTTACTGCTTAAATTTCAATGAGACTGAATATTTCACGATTAATTCCTCCACACCTTCAACCACATCCTTCTTCCACATTGTTACTATCCCCCAGAGGCTCCCCATGATGAGGCAGCCACCCAGCTATTCTCCTTGGCTTTCTATACACTTTTTGCCCATCTACTATCAAACTCCATTCTTTTGGATTTATGTATTAATACAATGTCCGGGTCAAACCTCTTTAACACATATTTAATTGTTGTTTTTTCCTTGCACTTCCTATACCCCTCATATTCCAGCTAAGTATCTTCATTATCATCTCTTTCTTAGTTTCCTTCTTCACCTACCCACTACTTCCCCCCTTTCTTTTATCTCCTTTCACCTTGAATTTCTTATCACCTTCCACATCCCTTTTCAACCTCTCAATGTCACTCAATTTCTTTTTCTTCACTATGATCTCCTCCTTTTTCTTTTGTAGGCCACCTTTCAGGACATTCAAGTTCTCCATTCTACATCCCAACTTCCCCACAAATTATGCTATTGAATCATTTCTCATGTCTCCCTCCACCAATATCCTTTTTGCCATTTCCCCTTCATTTCTCCTCTTCTGTCCTACTCTCCTCTCTATTGACCCCTCCCCTCTGATCTCATTCATATCCTTCCTCCACAACACATTTTGTTCCACTTCACTAAATATTCCTTCAATAATTTCCTATACCTCCCTATCAACTCCCCTTGGTTCTTCATCACCCTCTCCACAATCTTAGAGCACCCACTACCTTTGTTGGATTCACATACTAGGGCTGTAGAACTTGGAATGGGATCGAAATTTGGAATGTAGGACACATAAAATGCATCAATAGCAAAAACTGAATTTACTCGGTTACTTGGGTTTGTTTGGAGGGATGGAGTTGGATCCAGGCAAAAGTTCTCAACTTCCCTTACTAGTTCCAAGAGTTGGTAATTATTTGTCTCCCTGAGTTTATTGGGAAGCATTTTTGTCCTTTCGATAATCCAACAATTTGTCCTCTCTCCCCGTTGTTTACCCCTTGTTGATGTATTCTTGCTTTGCTTCATATTCTCTTGATTTACCCCTTTATTTGTGCCATGCACAATCTGAAGCCTTGGAAAATGGGTTATTCTCGTAAGATTCAACAACCCCACTTCATGAATCCTAGGACTCCTCTCATCACCCGTCGAGCCTTCCAGCCTTTTAGGGTATTGTATAGTGTAAAATAATTGGACAATGATCATTGGCCATCGCTGTAAGGTGTTGGATCCGAGATAGGATTAGATAAACATAATAGTTGTTCAACAGACTGTGGAATCAATTATAACACTTCACATCAGTCATAAAATACATGGACCCCACAACCTTTCAACTCCTTAATGTGGGACCTGTGCATTTTATCACTGATATGGGCATTGTCATTGATCCCACAACTTGCTACAAGCTAAAGCGTTTAGTTAATCCAAATTCGTTGGTTCCACAACCATTTAACCCCTTAATATGTGCTCTCTATGACTTATTAGGTTGCCCATAAACAAAGAAAGTGCTCCATTGAAAGTGTGTAGGGTGATCTAGTACATATAACAAGAATAATATGGTTGGATGAAAAGGCATTATGAAGAGAGATATTGTGAGACCATAGGAGCCAAAAACCTTCACTACATCCAACTGAAGGGACAATGGGGTGATCAATTTAATTTATTTAAATTGTGAGACCATCTTCTTTCCTCTATTAATCTATTTAACCTCTTCATCTCTCTTATTGTGTTCTTCATGCACGTGCTATTGGATCATTGCCCATATGGGAGGGCTTGTATGCATCAGTTTCTTTTTTACAAGGTGGGTCCCACATGGAAAGCCTATAGAAGTTATATTTGGTAAAAAATCTAAAAAGCCCATATACTTATCAAAAGAAAAAAAGAAAAGGGAAGTTTTCCTGTTGCATCCCAACTTTTTTCCATAAAAAAAAGAAAAGGGTAAATCACCGGAACCTCTTTGAAGTTTCTAACCATTGCTGAAGCCTCCTTTGAGTTTGGTAATTACAATCACCTCCCCTTAACTTTCTGACAGAATTGCAAGTAGATCCCCTTTGTTAGAATTCTCTAACAAAATGCATGAAAATATCCAAAATACCTATGCAGGTATTGTTGAAGCTGGTTCTACCAAAAAAAAAAAACAATACAAATTTTATAAAAAAACAACAAAAAAAGAGAATTTAAAGTTACAACTTTACAAAAGATTGGAAGGGTTTGGGCTAGCGATTCATATGAAGAGAAAATTTGGAATATGTTGGTTTGGTCAAAAGTAACTATAGGGATATTTTGGACATTTTCATACCTCTAGAGAATTCTAACAAATGGTGAAAGGGGTCAACTTGCAATTATGTCAGAAAGTTATTTATAAAAAAAAATTGTCAGAAAGTTATTTATAAAAAAAAATTATGTCAGAAAGTTTAGGGGAGGTAATTGCCAAACTTCAAGGGAGGTTTTAGCAATGGTCAAAAACTTCAAAGGAGGTTTCTACAATTTATCCAAAAGAAAAAATAACCTAAAAGCCCATATACATTTTCATTTGGCTTTATAGGGCGCCAATTGGCTAATTGGTAGGGTGAGCAAAAAAAAAAAAAAAACCAAACTGAAAAAATCTGTTAACTGAGGTCAGTTCGGTTTTGATTTGGTGTTTTTAAAAAACCGAAGGTACCGGTACAATTTCGGTTAACCAATTTAGGTAACCAACAGTTAACCGAACCGATTAGTATACATATATTTCTATATATTCTATATATATTTATGCATATTATATATTATATATTTTTATATATTATAAATTAATAAATATGCATTATATATATAAATATATATTTATAATATATTATATATTATTTAGAATATAATATTATATATATTTATATATTTTTATTATATATATATATTTATAATATATATTGTAAAAACTAGAAAACCAAAAAATTGATGGTTAACCGAACCGGTCAACTGGTTAACCAATTGGCTTCGGTTCAGTTCCAATTATCGGTTTTCCAAAAACAGATAGTACCGGTTCGGTTCCAAAAAATGTCCCACGGTTTTGTTAAAATCGTGACACCCCTAGATATGAGTTGGGGGATGGGCGAAGGCCTGTTTGGGAGGATTTCAGTGTTAAATCTATTGATTGAGTTGCATTGACTAACTGCTTCAGAGAAACTATAGCTTCATGGGAAAGTCGATGTCTCGGCTCATGAACGTGTCTAATTGGCTTTCTGGGCTTTTCACCAAACACGGACCGAGGGCTTTGTGTGTGATAATACCTACCTTACAACACCAGAAGCCGCTGCGTGAAAGCCCTCTGAAACGGCCACTAAATTGACTTTTCGGTAAAGTTAGGCTTAGTGAAAGCAGCTTAAAAATCTTCTTATAAGATGTGATCGAAAGGCTTATCTACCGTTGTATTCATCGCATCAGGTGCCTTAGAAGTTGAGATGGAGATGTGCGTTCTCAATGACTGTGGTGTTTGTGTACACCATAGAATAATTCCTGGTAACTGAAGCAGAAAGCTCTCTATAGATAAAACCCATAAACCCAGCCTCTCCACCAAGCCAAGAACACAGCTGCTTCGGCAGTCTGAGACTTCGCAAGATTTCACTGTCTATTGGTTCTTTGTCGCACCTGTTGTTGGTCTGCAATGGAGCTTAGTCTCCAACACAGACCAAATCCTCTTCTCCTTCCATCTAATTGTTTCAATAGAAACTTACTAAAATTCTTTCTTTTCAAGCCAGTACCCCTACATTGGAAGCAAAGAGAAAGAAATTCCCGCTCAAAACTGATTGTCCGAGCTTCTGCTTCTGGTAATGAAAATGGGTCGGAGAGTTTCTCGTGGTCGAGGGTCAGGCATTCGATACGTCGAGGTTCCGAGAGAGTTTTGTCGAATTTCGGAGAGTTGGTGAAGAAAGAAACCGGGTTTGATTTAGAAGACGCCAATGAAAAGGTGGTTGGGCTTCTGGGTCAGGTTAGGGACACGGCGAAGAAGGGTGAGATCGTATTTGATCGGTTTAAGTTCGAATGGGTCCCCAAGTTCATTGACTGGAATAAGTGGGAGCGGTGGAAGGTAGTTTCTCAACCCATTTCAATCATTTTATCCTTCTGGTTTTGAATTTGGTTCGAGTGTTAGTGGTTCTATAATAGTTTTGAAAATCTTTTTTTCACGGTCCAACCTTAACATCTATTATTAATTTATTTTCAGTAGTATTTCTTTCTATCAATCAAATAGTGTTAAAGGCTTGCAAATTGTCGTTAGTCCCAAATAGTCTAAGTTAGATACCTTCTTTTTGGTCAAAGGATAGAACTTCAATTGAGTAAAAAATGTTAAATTTGCTGGGTGATACTTGCAGAGTACTGTTCTTTCTGGAAAAGCATTATGAAGTTATATGAATATGCCCCCTTGACTGAATTTAAATTGGAGTGGGGCAGGCATCTCAAGCTCCTTCCGTCTAAAAATCCGTAGATTGTCCCTTCAAGTGGCAATGGAAATTAGTTCCTCTCTTTGCAAGGCAATTTGGTGGTTTGGAATCCCCTATTAAACAAAGGAATAACTGAATGCATTTTTCTTTTCCAAAAGGTAGAGGATGGTCTGGTTTCTCTAAATGGGAATGATAAGGGGCCATTACTTGGTGTAATGGTAACATCTCTGGTCATCAAGTGTGAGAACGAAGGTTTGAGTCTGTGAGCGGCCACTTTGTGTAAAAATGCCAAAAGTTAGGTGCATATCCAGTCCACCCCTCCCAGATCCCAGATAGCTGGGATCAACATTGGGTAATGGCCTTTTTTTTCATTTCTAGGGAATAACAGATATGGCTGAAGTTCTATTTGGGGCAGAAGTTCCTTTCCTTGGCTAGATGCCTTATATATGATGTTTTTTTTTTTTTTTTTTTTCTTGGTAAAGCAAGCCCTCACCGTAGTTGTCAAGCCCATACTTAAGTGGGTTCATAGGCATTGCCTAGATGACTAAGCAGTTTTGGGGTGTTGTCTGATTGCATTGCTTCTAGAAAAGGTGCTCTGCTCACTAGTATTATCAAAGCGTCAACTAGTCATGCATAGCCAGTTTAGGGCCAGACTGACTGGCAAATGCATCACTATCTAGTTGGTTGATACTTTTGATGCAGCTACATAGGACAACTGATTATCGAATAGGTTTGACCACTTGATTAATGGCTAGTCAACGACAAAATCATTTTAAAGCCTTATTTGTTTGCTTTTATTTAGAATTATTCGAGATAATGCATGCTTGTATTTTGTTATGGAACATGATTAGATTATGGCATTTAAAATCACCAACAAAAAGTTCTCAGATATGGATACAGTAAGAAGTAATTTGAAAGTTCTGTTATGTTCTTGGGTCTTGGCTAAGCACTGATAACATAAATCATTTCAGGGAATCCATTCCTGATGGACCTCTTTTTGATAATATGTTTTGCTTCTTTTTGCATTGTACATCCCCACTGTACAGTTTCTCAATGTACATGGGTTGCTGTATATTTCTGGTTAGTTGATCAATACAATATATTAAAAATTACCAACCAAAAAAGATTATGGTATAAAAACAAAAAATAGTAAAAAAGGCATAGAATAATAGGTTAGTTGCTTTATTGAGTTATAATTTTAATTATATTGCAATGTTATATTTGAAATATTGAAATTAATATATTTTTGATTTTGTTGGTTTGGAGTTGGATTTTGGTTGTGTGAAGGGCTGTTTCCCTTTACCTTAGGTGACTCCTTGCCACTTTTCTTGTACTTTTTTTTTGTTTTAATAAATTATCACTTTGTTATAAAAATAAGATATTTAAATGTCTATCTTCTCATCAATATGATGATTTTCTATGTCTTGATATGAAATTTATAGTTATCATTTGATGGATAACTTTAAACTTATTAATATTGATGCAAGAATTTGTATTTACAATTTTTTTGATCAATAACACATTTCACTAATTATCAACAATTAGAATTACAAAGAGGAAGACAAACTTTCTTATCTTCCAACTTCATCTTAATCCCCAAGAACTGAACAGGAGAGAAAGGAAAAAAGAGAAATCAAATTTAAACTACAACTGTACCCAGAACATTGACTCCCTGTCCACCCCTTGTTTTGCTAACCCCTCAACAAAAGAATTAGCTGATCTTTTTACCCAATTGATTTTAACTTCCATTTCTCGAACCAGCCATATGAATTTCCTTCTCATATTGCTATATCTCCATAAACCACTATCGTCTTTCTTCAGCCACCCTACCACCACCTCCAAGTCCCCTTCAATTATGAGTTTTTTGAGATTCATCTCCCTAGCTTTCTGGACTCCTTCCAAGACAGCATGGATCTCAGCTCTAAGGGAGTCTCCCACTCCAATGGGGCCTAAAAACATGGCAGAAACAGCCCCATACTCATCCCTAAAGACACCCCCAATCCCTGATTGTCCAGGGTTCCCTTTGCTACTTCCATCAAAGTTTAGTTTTATGAAATCCACAGGCGGGGGAGTCCCCTTTTCATACGCCACCTGAAAAAAGGAGCAAACAAACTTTGCAGATTTGATGGAGGATTCCAAGTACACCCAAATAGAGATAAAACCCACTCCCAAATAGTTTTTGCAAATTGGCAGGACACCAGTAGGTGGAAACCAGTCTTCCCATCAGCCTTACAAAGAACACACCAATGAGGGGACAAACAAGAATTGGGTCTCTTCTTTTGGAGCAGATCACCGGTGTTGATTCTTTTCAGAAATGCTTCCCAACAAAAACTACCAACCCTAGAAGGAATTGGTCTGTACCATACCTCATTAACAGGGAAGGGAGGGGTTATAGGATTGGTGGACTGGCTTAACACTTTAAAGAAGGAGGCACAGGAGAAGGAGCCAGTAGGAGTGGGGGTCCAAATTCTAGAGTCTTCCTTAGATGGATCTAAGAATACATTATCAAGAAGTTGGAGTAGACTCGAAACACTATCGAGGTCTGAATCTCTCACAGCCCTTTTCATACCCAAATTCCATCCAAACCCAGAAATGGAAGAGGAAGGGGTAATAAAAGAGGAAACTGTCTCATTTTTGAAAACAGATTGGGCATACAAAGAAGGAAACTGGTCCTTTAAAGGGGCATCCCTTACCCAAGTTTGTTCCCAGAATTTTATGGAGTTAGCTGAGTTCGAATCATACCTGATAAGAGAGGAAAAAACTAGTAATAGATCATGAATGGCTTTCCAAGGCGAAGCGCTTGTGGTCCTAGTCTGGAGTCCAGCATCCCATCCATTTAGCTCCAACCATGTATGCTTGCCACTATTTTAGCCCATAATTTCTCATTTTCTAGTGGGAATCTCCACAACCATTTCCCCAAAAGGGCCAAATTCCTTTCTCTAATGTTCCCAAGCCCTAATCCACCACTATGTTTACTCCTGGTCACCACCTTCCAACTTACCCTATAGTCCCTCTTCTCCTCTCCCGGCTTCCAAAGGAAGTTTCTCATCATCTTTTCCAATCTGTTAGCAACCTTAATTGGGATTTGAACACTGAAAGGAAATAACTGCGTAAATTTGCTAGGGTAGCCTTAATCAGTGTCATCCTACCACCAAGAGAAAGGTAATTCTTTTTCCAAGAAATAAGTCTCTTTTCAAAATTTTCCACCACCGGATTCCAGAAATTCTTCCTCTTTGGATTGTTACCCAATGGCATTCCCAAGTAGTTCAATGGCCATCCCGAAACCTCACACCCTAGCACTTCTGCACTCTCCCTAATTTCATCCTCCTCCAAATTCACACCCACTACACAACTTTTCTCAAAGTTCACCTTCAGTCTTGACATGTGTTCAAAAAGTAGTATCACCAATTTCGTATTCCTAATGTATTCCAAGTTTCCTCCTTCACAAAACAAAATTGTGTCATCTGCAAATTGTAAATGGGTGAGGGGGGTTTCCTCCCTTCCGACTCTCAATCCTCTAATGAGACCCCTAAAGTCTGCTCTATTAATCAATCTCCCCAGGACATCAGCAATCAATGTGAACAATATAGGAGAAAGGGGGTCCCCTTATCTTATACCCCTAGTAGCTGGAAAGAAATCTGCCACTGTCCCATTCACCAGTATAGAGTAATGACAATTCCGAACACATCCCATAATCCATTTGCACCATCTAGCCCCAAATCCAAATTTAGTCATAATTCTCCTTAAGAAATCCGAATCTACCAAATCATAAGCTTTTTCCAGATCCAACTTACATACCACTCCCTTCTTTCCATCCTTCCTAACATTTTCAACACTCTCATTCGCAATTAGGATCTGATCTGTAATTTGTCTTCCACTTACAAAGGCTCCTTGGTTTGGTGTAATGATATCTGGCAATACTTCCTTTAATTTCAGTGGTAGAACCTTCGCAAGGATCTTGTACAATCTGTTTACCAAATTGATTGGCCTAAAGTCCTTTGGATGGGATGCATCTTTCTTTTTCGGAACCAATGCTAAAAAGGTAGAATTCACACCCGGGTTTACCACTCCTCTCCTATGAAGTTCCTCAAACACCATCATCAGATCACCTTTCAATGTATCCCAACAGTCTTGGTAGAAGGCCATTGTGAAACCATCTGGACCTGGAGCTTTAGTTGTATCCATAGAGAATATAGTCTCTTTAATTTCTTCCACCTCAAATCTTCTTTCCAACCTTCTCTAGTTCTCAACCCCTACATCTGGCCAGTCCAAACCTTCTAGCCACACCCCCTACTCATAGACCTTCTTAGTATGGATTTAAAATGTCCTACAAGGGCCCCAACAATCTCATCTTGTTGTGTTAACTCAACTCCATCCACCTCCAATTTGGATATAAAATTCCTCCTCCTCCCATTAGCCAAAGAATGAAAGAACCTTGTGTTTCTATCTCCCTCTTGTAACCCTTTACATCTAGATTTTTGCCTCCAGCTTATTTCCTCCTTGTGTAGGCATTACTCTAATTGTCTTCTCAAATCTCTTCTTAGTTCCCTATTTGCCTGTCCAAAAACTCCCCTTTCTTCTTTCAAATCTAAGCTCTCAAGTTGGTCCATCAAAATTCTTTTTCTTTCTTCAAGCCTTCCAAACTCCA